ATTTTAACAAAAAACCTCCAAAACACCACAGGTTGCTTTCTCTTTTTTTTTGTCTAAAAAGTGGCTATACAGAGCCCACAGGTTGTATTTATTTATTCATTTTTTCATAGCCTTCTCTGAGTACAGTCGAACCTCTTTATATGTCCAGTTCCCATTTTTAGCAGAAATTTGAACATATAAAGAGGTAGACACACCTGGGTCAGGTTCACCCTACCAGGTTCAGGGACTGACTTGTGGGACAGATACAGAGCTACCAAAGGCACTCTTATTATTCAGGTGTTGTTTTGTCTGGCTCGATCGCTACAGATACAGTTTGTGTCGAGTTGTCTGGCTTAGTCGGTGTGTCATTGTAGAACAAAGAATCACCACGATAATTTGGTGCCTGACATTTGTCTGTAGACAAGCAGCAACCCATTGGCCTGACATTTGTCTGTAGACAAGCAGCAACCCATTGAGCCATACCCTTCGCCAATGTTTAGAAATTGCATACATATTGTGGTCAACCAGCACACTTGTGTGCACTTGACGTTGGTTGCGCGGTCGTGCATTTTTCCACACAACAACGATCGCCACTAAATGTGTCTTACATCAGAAATTATAAACAGCAGTGTATGTACTTTTATAAAATATACGAACGGGCTCAGACTTCAGTTCAGAAGGGTCTCTGAGACTAGTCTCACTGAGCGTTGAGACCTGAGGAGGGGCAGGCTGGTGGACAAGCCCCCAAAGGGCCTGACTCACATATGGGTCGGCCCAAATAAAAACTGGACATATAAAGAGGTAGACATCTTTTAAAGGTTCGACTGTATTTACTAAATTGAAAAGGCTATGAAATAATGAAACATCCCATTATGTATCCCAGTCACCAGAGCGAATAATATATTGTTGTTTTTATAATTTTCAAGTAAAAAAAAAAGCAAATCATTTCTTTCAGATTATTGCTCTATATTTAAAACATTATAAAAAATCGAAAAAGTGTATCATATGTATATGGGAAAAGTGCTCTCAGCACTCATAGCCTTGAATCTTGATGATAGACGAGATCACACTATCACAGTCATCACACAAGACTCCAAGCCCAAGACTCCAAGAGGCATCGCCTCTTTTTTATTTATGTTCAATTTAGGAGTAAGGAGGCTATGAAACAATGGCTCTAAGTACTAATGTTGAATTTTAGGAGGCTATGTAGTAGAGGGCGCGATCTCTCTCTACTCTCTACTAGAGAGAGTAGCTATGGTTCTCTCCAGCATCTTTTT